GAGGGGTCAGGGGGGAATGGAGAGGTCGGGGGGACACAGAGGAGTCTGAGGGGTCAGGTGGGCACGGAGGGGTCAGGAGGGGTCAGGGGGTCACGGACGAGGGGGCACGAACGGATCAGGGAGGGGGCACAGAGGGGTCAGAGCGGCACGGAGACCCTCTCCCACCCTCCATCCGTGCCCCTCACCAGCAGCACGTGCTCCCGGACGATGAAGAGCTGCTTCGCCCACTGGCCGAGCCAGCGYTTCCTCCAGAGGAAGCCGCAGAGCTGCGCCTCGGGTCGCCCGGGGGGCTCGGCCTCGGCGCTGGTGGCCGATGGCCAGCGCAGGTAATGGGCSCGGTCCGTCACCCCYTCMTCCTCCTCMTCATCATCATCCTCCTCMTCCTCTCCGTACGACTCGTAGTGGCTGCTGTCGCTGTCGCCACCGCCTGCGAGCCGGGGCGGGGTCAGGCCGGGGGGTGCACGGGGAGCTGGGGAGGGGGCGCGGGGGGAACTCACCGGTCCTGCCGGGGCCGGGGGCTTCGGCGTCTTCGTAGGAGCCGTCGGCTGAGGGGGACGGGGGAACCCCCGGCACTTTGTTCTGGGGGGAAAAAGGGGCGCTCCAAAGGTGCTGGCCCCCCGGGGGAACCTCGCAGGGTTCTCGGGAGGGCACCAAGGGAACCTTCCCGGTCTGGCTGGACCCCCAAGCGGTGCCATCCAGGCATTCCTGGGCATTCTCGAGCCCCTCTCCCATCCCTGCGCCGCTGTCCGAGCGCCCCGAGCCCCCCGCCCCTCCGCTGCCCCCTCACCCCTCCGTGCGGGCTCAGGGCGCTGCCCGGCCGGCACTCGCAGGCTCTGCCTCCCGCTGCATCCGCCGTTCTGGATCCTGCCGGGAAAAGCAGCGCCGTGCCGGGGTGCTGAGGGGTCGGGGACCCCCCAAACCGCTCATGGAGGCTCGGATGGGGGGTGGGTGGGAGCGTGGGACTCACCCGGGCTGCTCCGGGCCTGCGGGGGCGCCGGGGAGGGCGAGAGGCAGCGCATGATCATGTACTCTGCATCCTCTGCTGCGGGGGCAGCGCCGGGTCACGGCCCCGCTCCTCCCGGGGCACCCCGCAC